CGGCTGGAGGCGACTTAGATGCCATGTGATGGTCATTTGAAGACAGGACTTCTGAATATCAGGTAGCGACCCCATCACCATCTCCATTGTCACATCTTCCTTGTTGGTGGGTGGGGGCATCCTCATTGTGCATGGAGCATTAGGTACCCAACCATACCAGTCCATCTGGGGAAGAAAACTGTAGCTCTAGAACCCAAGCATTACGATTTGAATCCCCACCTCTCCCTTGGATGTGCCAGGGTCCAGAGCCTGCTCTCTGGGCCCTGAGCTCTTGGTACCTGGCCCTGGTTGATGGCAGCATGCTGGGAAGTACATGTGAAGACACACGTGGTAAGGAAATGGCAGAGCTGAGCCCGGGTCTGGAAGGAGACAGGGAAACCTGGCCAGGAAAAGAGCAGGGTTTAAACATTACAGACAGTAAGAGGAGAAAAAAGGATGGTCTGTATGTTAGAGCAAATGTGTGGTTTCTTATTCATGTAGATATATTTGTATCAGACATAGGTTCCAATACTGGCCTAATTACTTACTTTGTGGTTATGTTAGACTAGAGGTTCTCAACCTGTGGGTCTTGACTCACACAGGAGTCCCATATCAGATGTCCTACACATCAGATATTTACATTGTGATTTGTGACAGTAGTAGAATTACAGTTCTGAAGTAGCAACAAAATAATTTATGGTTGGGGTTCACTACAGTATGTGGAACTGCATTAAAGGGTTGAAGCATTAGAAAGGTTGAGAACCACTGCACTAGACCAATTACCTAACCTCTCCACATGCCAGTTTTTCCCATCCACACAATGGATGTAGTGCATGTATCCCAGCTCAGAGGCAGGAGGCTTGTGAGTTCCTGGCCAGCCCAGCCTTCATATAAAGTTCCTGGCCAGTCTACACCACTGTATGGACTACACAGTGAGATCCTGTCTTTAAAAAAAAGCATCAAAATCATCTGTTTTTAAATAGTGCCCCGCAAATAACAGATACTGTTATTGTGGAAAGATTAAGAGCTGGGCAATCAGTTATCCCTAGTTGATTAGGAATTAGTGATGCTTCTTCCTATTTCTAAACAAGGGATTATAGTCTTTTAGTTACACAATGGAGAGTAAGAGAAGTCCTAAGCTAGGCCTGGTGGCACATGTCTGTAGCCCCGACACTTAGGAAGCTGAGGCAGGAAGAGCATGACTTCAAGGCGGGCTTTCACTACATAGTAAGTTTGAGGCCCAGCTAGGCTAAATTACCCTGTCTGAAAACAGCAAAGTCCTGAGCTTACCTCATGCCAGTTATTTACAGTGTGTGTGGGAGCTTTGAGTTGAGCTGGTGCATATATAATTATACCTGTTATCTAGATAAGAAGATCAAAGGCCAGTGAGATTAAATGTTTCTCAAGATTACCTAGTAGCGGGACAAACAGAGGTTGACTTTGAACTCAGGTTCCCAACTGCTATTCTATTACCCATTTTAATTTTAGCATGTTTCCTCTAAGTCCAACAGGAAAATTAGGCAAAAGTGGGCTCAGTGAGTTGAGAGAGAATAGAGAGGAGGGGCTGAGAAGCTATTTGTGGAGGTTAAAGTTAATATTTATGGTATGGAATGAATGTTTGTGTTTCCACCCCCAAGTTAATATTATGAAATTATTTGCCAGTGTGATGGTATTTGGGCATGAAGAGTCTTTGGAAGGTTATAATGTCATGAGGTTGGAGCTCTCATGAGTAATGGCCTTGTCCTTATGAGGCAGGACAGAGATCTAGTTTGTTCTCTCTCTGCCGTGTGGTACCATGAAAGTCACCCGTGTCACCAGGAAGAGCACCCACCAGAACACAAACATGCTGGCACTATGACCTCAGACTTTAAGCCTCCAGAATGGTGAGAAATAAACTTCTGATGTTTAAGCCACACTGTCTGTTTCACTTCATTATTTCAACCCAGACAAAGACGCTGAATATTTATGATAAATTTCAAGATGTAGATACTGCTTGAGGAGATGGCCAGGGAGAAGAAGGGCCTTTTTGGACACATGAAGCCAAAGGATCAGAACAGAGAGAACCCCTTGCTTCCCCAAGGAGAGGCTGTCTCCAGGGCACAGGTGTTTGCTGCATGCAGGGTCTTGCCATGGTGGCACTGCTATGCCATAAAGAAGCAGTGGGTGGGATTCAAGGTGGTAGTCTCAACTATGGAGGGCAGTGACTGAAAGAAACCTCAAAGCCAGACAGGAGGAGGCCTTGTGTTTAAATGGCCCAGGAAAGGTGAGTTCTTTCAGGAGTTGAGGGGGGAGGATGGAGGCTGACTGGAGTAATGACTGCACCCTGGCTGGTGGGTAGGGGAGCTGGAGATTGAGGACCAGATCAACCAAAGAAACCTGAGCCCCAAGGATGGGGACTGGAGCCATAGCATGCAGATAGCGTTGAGGGGGCATCCAGAAATGACACTGCAGTCTGGCAAATGTGCAGCGTGCCCGAACAGGCAGGAAGGAAAGGGATAGCCACGGTGACACATGATGGGCTTTGGTGGGAAAATCTTCCCATTTATGTCTCCAGGTAGAAAAACAGGGAACCATCGCAGAACTCCATGAGCCCCAGCAGGTTGGAAGTCACTGGTTGTGGTTCTGCTCTAGCTGAGAACCTGAGAATGAGCTGGTGGACGGGGCCTCTTTAGGAAGACAACCTGGGTATAGGGATGGTTCTGGGTATTCGGAGGCATGAGGATGCTTTCAAGAATGGACGGGGAGGTGTGACTAGGGAGTTCTGTCCCCGAGGTCTGGGGAGGGGCGCCTGTCGCTGGGACAGATCTTACCTCTGTCCTGGGCATGGCACAGTCCCACCTCAGTGATCTCCCAACACCAGGCCTGCAGCTCTTTGTCTCCCCTCACGATATCATCACTCTGGTAGAAGAGGTGGACCATCCCCTCCACGTACCTGCCCAGAGAAGGAAGCTGAGCTGAGAGCAGAGGCTCCAACCTCTGGACCTGTCTTCTGGGGCCGCCTCTCAGCTGGCTCTCACTGTGCCTGGGTTGGAGCCTACCAGATTTGTATTTTGAAGTTTTAATTTTCATTTAAGAATTCAAGTAATTAATTTATTGCAGCATTACAGATCAAAGTGAAGGCTTTGCTTATGCTAAGCAAGCATCCTGTGATTAAGTTACACCCAGGGCTCGGGTAGATTGAGGTAAGGAAAAGTGATAAAAGCCAGTCATCCTACACATCTACACATGACTGCTAGTCACTCCTGATAAAACCCTGGTTCTTCCAGATCCCCCAGCCTCTGCTCTAACAGCTCTCTTCATCTGTGTCCTTCTCCTACTCTAGTCTCTTTGCTTTTAAACCTGACAACTGACTCCACCTGTTCCTTACCCCTCTCTGGGGAGATACTTTTTGCCCCAAGCCAGATCTCACCGGTTCCTTTTCACTCACCTGGCAGTGACTTCCCAGAGCTGTAAAGCATCCTGAGCATAGAGGGCACTTGGGATTCTCAGCAGGCCTCGGTTAGCCAGGTCTTCAGGGGGACAGAGGGAGGAGTAAGTCAGCTGTGCCAGTGCCCGAGTGAGCAACTGAATGTGGCCCCCTCCACCTGTGCTCACTCCCTGGAACAAGAAAGTTGACAAGTCTTGATGGATGGAAGCAGAAACAGAGAGCCAAGGGCTATATGGTGCTCAGGCATGGAGTTTTCGGATTTAAAGTCATGTATATGAATGGACTGGACTCATAGGTTAAGGCTTGAGATTTTCATGGAAGTCGGTCTGTCGTCCCCAAGTGTTCAGACTATTAGTGGATGCTGGGAGGTTAGGGGCACCACATCCTTCTTACCTGATCAAATAGTCCCCCATCTGAGATGAGCTGGGTCCGGCTTCGTGTGTTGATTTCCATAGTGTAACGAATGTGGGGAACTAGGAGCTGGGGTGGGGATTAAAGGGGACTGTATTGAGATCTTCCTTGTAGGTTCTGACACCAAGTGTAATGTCTTACCGTCCTCTTGATGCTTTCATTCATGCTGCTACCTTGACAGGCTGGACTCTGATCACTCGTTCATATTCTTTAAATTCACCAGGAGTTGTCCTCTAGAGCCATGGTGACTAGAATTTCAACCTACATCTTACCACTCTGATACTTAGCCAAGTTAATTTCTATTTAATATTCAATATTCCCATCTGCCAACAGGGGGCAATAATGGGCTCTTATCTGAGGAAGCTGTAGCCTGTGTGACTATGTAGGTGAGGTGTTTGTCTACATGAAGGATTCCCAATAGTAGCTGTTACTCATTCTCTTCCACTTTGAGTGTGGTGTCTTTTAGGGACTCAGGGCCTTTTGATTTTCTTACATTCTATCATTTATATCCTCCTAGCTTAAGTTAGCCTGTGTATTCCTTATCAAAACTGCACCTCCATTCTTTGGGTTTCTTTAGAAGTGGCTTGTGGGGAGGCTATATGAAGCTGTCTGCTTATAGAGCTTACAGCATCCATTCTGTCCCCCAGCCTTGATGGTACTGTTGGGTCTCCTCTCTCCTTTTCCTTGGCTGTTATAAAAATCTACCTTATCCTCATACATTCTTTTTGTCTTCTTTTTTTAAACACAGTTGATATTTGTATTTTGTCTAATTTTGGCATTTACCCAAATTGCTTATGACAAACACAGGAATAGCTCAAATGATCTCTTTGCTTTTGAGACATCAAAGCAGCTCACATTAGTCTGAGATTCACACACAAGATTCTGAATGCCATAGAATGCCCCAAGTCACATGAGAAAAGATGTCTGGGAACAACTCTGAACAAAAATGGCAAGAACTTTTTAGAAAGCATCTAGTGTGTGTCACATTACAGTTGATGTCATTTATCCTTTAACAGTCCTAACAGACCTCCTGTGCACATCTAGGCTGGAGATGTAGCTTGGTTGGTAAAATGCTTGGGTGGCCTGCACAAAGCTCCCAGGTTCAATTTCCAGCACTCCATACACTGGGTGTGGTGATGCATGCCGCTGATCCAAGCATGTAGGAGGTGGACCAAGGAGGATCAGAAAAGCTCAAGGAAGTCTTTGGTTATAGAGAGTTTGAGGCCAGCCTAGGTTGTAGGAGACCCCCGACTCAAAAGCAAAACAAAGCAAAAAAGTGGACATTTGGAAAATATCAAGGTCAGATGTAGGATTTAGACCCTGACAATCGAAGTACAGATTCTGCACAGAGGTGGTCCTTGGGGCATTGGCACATTGAGCCCTCCTGTGTGTCCTGTGATACACAGTAGTTTGCCAAGTTTGCCATGGGATGTAGTTGCTAGGGTGGATGGAGCCAGAAGGAGGCTGAGCCAGAGGGAAAATTTCAAGTGTGAACATAGGCTTTAACTATACACACTGAGTAGGCGATGCAGGTGCAGATGGCATCGTGGCATGAATGAAATCCAGGAGACAATTAATCAGCCTGTGTTACCAAAGGGGTCACAGCTATATTGGCCAGGCTTGGGTGGGCAGATGGAAGCACCCAGCTGGAGGGATTTAATTGTTCTCCTTGCTGTGTTCCTGTTCCTCACTTAAATACTCAGACAATGCTTTATTTGCCATGTGGCTAAAACAGACACCTCATTTTGCCCTTAAACTAGCCCTGACACTTGCACCATTTTTGTCTGGCATATTCTCTATATGTGACATGTTGTCAAGATTTTTCAAATCTTTTTATCTTCATTATATTATTTTAGTTGCATGTGAGTGTGTGTGTGTATGGGTGCATGCGTGTCATGGTGCCCATGTGGAGGTTGGAGAACAACTTTTGGAAGTTGGTTCCCCTCTGCCCTCCCATCGTCACACTGCTGGGGCTACAGATGAGCCACCATGCTTGGATTTTTGCATGGGTGCTGGGGATCTAAACTGGGATCCTCATGTTTGAGTGGCAAGCATTTTATCCACTGTCCAAGCCCCTAGTTGGTTCTTAGCCACTTGTCTTCTAAGGAAGGAGTAACACTCTCTCCACTCCCAGTTGACAGTGTTTCATCTGTATTGTAAGTCCACTGTGACACGGTCAGATGTTTGAGAATTTGAGATCTCCCTTATAATAGTCCTGAAGAGGCACTAAATGACTCAGCTTGACTAAAATAAGTTCCAAGGTGTTGATACAGTTTTCTGCAACCCTCTCCCCTTCACCCAGAGATTGCTATGAAGATTTTGCTGTTGTATCTACCTCCTTTGAGTTGTGGAGGGTGGAGACAGGTAGATTCCAGGGACTTGCTGGTCAGCCGTCTAGCCAAAATGGTGATCTCCAGGTCTAGTCAGAGACTTTGTCTCAAAACATCTCATTTGGGTTCTAAGGGAGACAGACAGAGGGTAGAGTCTGTATGTACCTTGAAGATAGGGTGCAGTCCTGGGAGGCACCTCATGGTGGCAACAGCGATGACCTCAGCCACCAGATGAGTATTCAGCAAATGGAACTGGAGCTCGTGCAGCTGGAAATCTGAACTTCGAACCCAGATCTTAGCCAAGAGCCAGGCAAGTGGAGGATCTGAGGGCAGGAACAATGTTGGAGCTGGGGAGCTGGGACTGGGAGGCTGAATCTGGAAGAAATAGAAATTGAGTATTTAGGGAACTCCCCCTCTGTGTATGACATGGACACAGTTCCCCGGGGAAATTGACAACTAAGCAAAAATGGGTTCCTTCCAGCAGCTTACACTTAAGTAGAAAGAATGAGAGACCCATCACCCTGCTTTCCTAGCTATTGTGCCACGATGGGCAGACTGAATGCAGGAGAGATGGGAAGCAGGGGTGCAGAAACCAGGTCCTAGTAGTGGTGTGAGAAGAATGTGGTGGGGCTCAGAGATCGGGTGATGGGATGGAGAGCAGAAGCTTCGTGGACGTGAACCAGGTGTGGTGGTGTTCCTTTTTAATTCTCACACTCACAAAGCAGAGGCAGATGGATCTCTGTGGTTT